TCTACGGCCCTTCTCAGGGGGGTGTCGGTCGAGGACGTATGCCGTGCGGCTTCTTGGGCTTCGTCCTCCTCTTTCGTCCGGTCTTATCTTTTGGATGTGTCGGACCGGTCGGTGGCCCATTCCGTGCTGAGTGCAGCGGACTGAGTTGAGACCGTTGGGTCCCTCCTCTGAGGGGGCCTTCGGTTTACTTTCCGCCCTGGTTCAGGAGCTCTTGGGAGAGGCATCCTGCAGGTGCGGTACATATATGTGTGTTTTGGTCGGTCTGGTAGTCCACGTCAGGAGCTCTTGGGAGAGGCGTCCTGTGACTACGGATGACCTATATCTGTGTTACGTGGGGGTATCCTTGGTAGGAGTGGCCCTGTAACACGCATTGTTTCTTCTGCCCTGAGTCCTCTCACTTTGTGAGGGTCTTGCTCGGGCGGAGCTCCAATCACCCTTCGCTGGCCTGCTGGGAGTACATTTTCCTACGGCCTCCGCGTTGTGTCCCACTAGCGAAGTCCTAAGGGACGTAGCACCATGACGTAGAATTAATAGTTACTTAATGTAACTTAAGTTCTACGAATAGGTGCGTAGTCCCTTAGCTACGAGCCCATCAGGCCAGCCCGGCTTGGCAGAGTTCAAGAGGGGGTGCGGCCTTGTGCAGGGGCATTTATAGAGGAAGGTGGCTGGTGATTGGAGCAAATTATTTTGATCTCTCTGGCGTGTGACCTGGGGGTCACGAGTGATATCCCACTAGCGAAGTCCTAAGGGACTACGCACCTATTCGTTGAACTTAAGTTACATTAAGTAACTATTAAATTTAATTATAGAAGGCATTGCATTGTAACACTGGGCTATTTTTTAGCTTGTTCCATCACGACAGTCTAAAAATAAAACCGCCTAGTCAGTAAAAGGTGAAGATAAAAGGACAATAGAACAAAAATAGATCTCAGACGTGGTTGTATGTGGTTTCAAAAGAAGTAGCTCCAATAGAAATGTTGAAGTAATGATGATTTAACTTTTTGTTCTCTTTAAAACTGAAAGATACAGACCAGCTCCAGTCATTAATTAAATAACGAATCAATAACGTTTACATACATTTCTCAGTTTTGACAATATAACACAGCCGCCACGCTTCACTTGACTAATCTGGAATCTCACACTGTGGCTTTGTCATTGGGATTTCTGTCAGTCAAGTTTGCAGGCATGATTTATCAAAGTCATGTCTCCTTCTTATGTCACCTGGCAGTCAATGTGTCGGCAGTGCTCATGCTGAGGTCGCCATATGGAGGGCTAAAAATGACCCACGAATACATAACAATGACTGAGATGGTGTAGCTTCCAAGAGAACAATGGGATATACAGAAACTATACAGTAAATATAACACAGGCTTTCAAAATGATGGAGATCCAGGTAATTCTAAATCTATTAAAATAATTCAATTGATTCAAATCATAAATGTACTGATACCTGCTTTGACACAGATGTTGATACAGCCTTTTTAAGATATTTTCTCTGTAATTCCCGGGCCAATCCACAGACACCAGAAACTAACACAAAGTTTCACATCTTATTTGTCATTGTCTAATTATTTTTTCATACATTTGGCAAGAAGAGGTGACAAAATTGGGGCGACAGTGGCTCAGTGGGTAGGGCATTGGCCTTTGGGCCTGAAGTTTGCGGGTTCGAGCCCACTGTAAGACCTACTTCACGACTCCCACTGATGTCTGCTGTCGATGTGTCCTTGGGTAAGACACCTAACCCCACTTTACCCAAAGCCCCCGCTGAAACATCTCAGTTCCTGTGGACTCACCACCTGCAGGAGGATCAGTGAGGGGCTGGTGCTAAGTGTACTGGGTGCAGCTCTGAGGGGAAGAAAATCGATGGAGGTGACAAAAAACAAATGTATGAGGCTGGCCAGTAGAAAAGACTGCCAAAGATAAGAATAGTAATATGACTAGTTTGTAAAGCTAATTTTCTTTTACCACATTTCTAAATCTTGCATGAATTGGCACTTTCACTCCAACTGAAATTGAATTCTAGAACATGAACTCAACCTTTTAGCTTCCTACTTCATTGTAAACTCAAAATCTAACTAAGCTACTCATCTTCCTCAAAGTATAGACAAAATAGCTGAACTCTGCCATATATTTTCTTGATGAGCATCCTGCAAACTCATCCATATCTCTCAGGAAACCTCTGCCTCTGCTGAATAGAACCTAATAAAGAACATTGTTGAAGAATAATAAATCTCCCTTCAACAGCCGCCTGTCCAGCCAATGCATTCTTCCAGGAGATAGCATCAGTGTAACGTCTTGTCGTTACAAGCTGTTATTTAGCCCTGAGAAATAGCTGTGATTCAGAGTGACTGATGAGACTTAACCCCGTCACACACAGCCCATGGAAAAGAGTCAAATGGCATATTCATCATTTTCACATGTTCCCTCTCCTGTGACAGCAAGCGTGCACATTTATGTTCTCATTGGCATTGACCTACACGTTGAGAGCCATTTGAGATTGATTTGCAACACTTAATATTCCAAAGAGCAGCCTCGAGGCCAGACAAGATACAGTTTAATGACCTCAAGCCTTATACTGTAACTTGTACCTGTACTCTTTACTTATGGGGGGACACACAGTGAAAGTGCTGGACCGTGACTGTCGCCCTCTGCAGGACACTGTTTGCTCTGGAGAACAGCTTAAGTGACAGACTGATACACCCTGCGTGAAGGACAGGTTCTACAGGTCTTTCCTCTCTGCTATTGTCAGACTGTACAATGAGGTCTGATGAACACTGCTGACGTAACATAGCATGCATCTGTGCAATAATGTGCACTAACGTCAGTATGTGCAATATCAGAGCACTTATGTCCACTGTCACTTTTAACTTTTTTGCTCACCCTCATGCTGCTAACTGGGACTCTGGACTCTGGACTTTGGACTCTGTGGGAGCTGTGCTGGAGAGAAGGATGAGGGCTCTAATGCAAGGCATCCTGGGTAACTCCAGACACCCTCTGCATGACACTATGGCCGCTCAGAGGAGTAATTGTAGCAACAGGCTCCTATCACTGCGCTGCCGAACGGAACGTTTCAAGAGATCATTTGCTCCTTTGGCTGTCAGACTGTACAACAAACCTGTATGAGTTTTCTGCTGCTGGACACCTGAATTTCTCCTACGGGGATCGATAAAGTATCTATCTATCCATCCATCTAACATTACAGTAGTATCATTACAAAAACACATTATATTGACAATACATAGATTCTTTTGCAGGAAAAGCAGAAATGACAAAATATACAACCATGTTCACTTTAGTAGCTTTGTCCCTGAATTAACACTAGGACTCCCAGAATTCTGAAACTACTAGAACTCCCAGAGCCGTCATTTTGACTACTCCCATTCGCCAATGGAATTCTGACAAATTCACCAGAATGTTTTTTTTTTTTTTTTACCAGATTTATTGAAAGTATGTATTAACTTTTACCCACTTTTAAATAAGTGAAAAAAAAGGTAAAAGATTAAATACAACAAAGGATATTTTGCTCTGCTAGCTAACTGCTGACCGTTGCTGATGCTATAGTAACTAGTACTGGCTCTTCTTTTGGAGTTAATGGTAGGACTACTCACTACATCAAAACAATTACATGGTTATAAACTACATAAAGGAAAAGTCCCAAAGTTAAGAGGACAAAAAATATTCTCAAGCTGAGTAATTCTCTGCTCTGGGGGTCCTAGTCTTAAACAGTCAGTGGAAGACAGCCGCTGTTACCACCGCACACGATGTCTGCTGTTTTACTGTGAGATGTTTAGGCCAAACCTCACGGTTATTTGTACCATTAATAAACAACTTTTATCCATGGTACAAACTGGCAACCCAAATGATAGTCTTCTTCCGCTCTCTGATTAGATAATCGGCTTGAAAATTGTAAACTCCACTTCAAACTTTGGTTCAGAAATGGTTATCTCGGGATACATACAAAGATTCAGATAGAGAAATTTAAAAATGACATACTGTCCCTTTAATGCAGAAGTGAACTCAAAAGTACCAAGCTACAATTTCCCCTAAGTTTGAATTCTTGAGGAACAATATACCGTGGAAATAAGCATGACATCATCTATGAGCAGCAGCTTTTCCACTGCTCACAGTCCTGTCACCCTGTCTCCACACACGCTGCTTTATTGGACCCTGTGTTGTCTGCGCTATCACAGCAGTGCCGTGTACCAGCTTTAGAACGGCTGGTGTAAAACAGTAGTGAACAAAAGCAGCTTTCTGCAGAGAGCTCTAAAAATGCCCTTGTGACGTGGGCTACAGTGTGTAAAAATGGCCTACAAGCTCATATGATTGGAGTGTTAAGCTGTTAAAAATAATTAGCTTTTACCCCCCTCTCACCTGATAGTAGGCCCCACATGCCCTAAAGCAGTCTGGCCTTTTTGATATGCTGACAATATTTTCCAGGCCACTTAACTGTCTCCATCGGCAACTATTTTCCACAACAAAACTGCCCGGCATAATCAGCAACATTTGTGTAAGTACATATGAGCTTGTACTGGTGGCTAAGTTTAATGGCTGCTTTCTCTGGTCGCAATGATATCGTTCGCAATCATTATTTAAATAAATGCAGTAATTTAATAGGTAATGTATTAATTCTTGGACAAATCTATTTCTGATATTAGTCTTAGTAGTCCTTCATCTCTGTGTTTTTCTACTAGTGTTGATTTGGTGTGCCTGTGTGAATTATCCAATATCACCTAATTGGTTACAATAATGCAAAAAGATAAGACTTTTGTGTAAATTTGTATGATTTTCTGCATAATACACTTTGATGAGAATTACTTTATTTTGTTTATAAAGGCTGCAGAGTTTCATGTTTGTGACAGTTTCAGCTCAGAATTCTGACGGCATTCTGGCGCCTAAAGTGAAAGAGCAGGGCAGCACCTCGCGGGTATCTGTACCTGCTTCATACTGATGCAAACTTCCAACGCAGTCCACGGAGGATGGTTCTGCTGCTGTATTGTCACTTATGACAGGAATTCCCATTTGCCTCCTTAGTGGATCACATAAAAAAAACCTTCATTATACACATGACATTACAGAAACTACATAGCGTGACGAATCATGGCAATTCTAAGAACAATATTGAGTAAGAATTTGTCAACCGTGTATCATTTCTCATCTTACAAGCCCTTGTTGTTGTGTCACGTTCTACAGTAGTAGACCCAAAGGGCCCAACACTTCCCTTGCTTCCGCCTGCCTCTAACAAGCATCACATTTGCAGCTGTTACAATGAATTCTTCATATTTTGAAATTCAATCTCCTAAAAAGCTCCTAATACAGTTAGAGGCAGTAAAAGTCACAACTGAGAGGACTTCTGTCAAAGTGCTGGTGGAGTGATGGACAGTGGAGCGTGTCGTGTTCCACAGGCCAAACATGAGCATCAGAGATATGGGTTAATGGAGGTTGGGTTGGATTTACAGCTAAGTTCCAACAAAATATGAAACTGATACCGTTTGGAGCCGGCGCAGAAGCTGTAAAGTGGAAACAGTGGAAACCGGACGTTCTGACACTTGACTACTTTAAATGTAACGACTTTGTAGAAACAATCATACATCATTCAGAACGAAATATCTCTCAATATTGTGGCATTGAGTCAATGAAATTCATCACTATAAAAAGAAATGTTGATCTCTTAACTTGTGGTGTCTACTGTTAAACATGTATAGAGTCCTACGACTTGTGTTTTTTGGCAGCAAAGTGTTTAAACTCATCAATATTCAATGTTCATTCAATGTTACAAAACCGAGATAAAAAGACTATATTTTCTATTAGGACAATCAAGACTTTTCTTATGGTTTTAAGTATAAGCAGCAATTTGTGTAACATTTTCTGTGTCAGAATTAGATTGGAATTAGAATTATGGACAAGTCAGCCTTTCAGATTCACAGTTGCAACAAGAGAAAACTAGTTAAACATGAGGTCAAACTGCAGGTTGTAAAAATATGTTTTTTTTTTCAAGAAGCCCATGGAAGGATAGAGAATTAGTCTACAGGGGCAAAAGTAAACACACTATAGCTGTTCAGATTTCTAAACAGAATTCATATCTCATTCAAAAAATATCCCACAGTGCATGATTCAAGATAGTTTACAGCCATCTAGTGGCGACTAGGAATGGTGTTCAAAGACTAAACAGATTTGTTTTAACTACACATTTTTTTTAGCAAAATTTTCACAAATGCACCACAGGGCTCCGAGCAAACGGCTCTGAAGACTAATTTAACAACTAAGGAGTTTGCTTCTTTTTAAAATGATCATTTTTACATTTTACTTATTAGAAGTAGGGTTACAGAATACAATAACAAATGTCCAGGACAAAAGCCAAAAGCATATGACAATAGGATCAAGAGTGCAAGTTCTTTATCAGTAAATGTAGAGTTCACATGGGAACAGTGAGAAGGAGTCCTGGGCCACAGAGGACACTGGAATATCTTGAAGAACAATAACAAATCCGAGAAGATGGGAAGGAAAGGTGTGACGCTCACCTGTGTCTGCAGAACAGCGTAGCAGGAGTAGGAGCCAGGGCAAGAAGGTGAGGAGTGGCATCAGGTCACTGGGTGATATTGCAAAACATTAGTATCATAGTAATTAACCACAGTAAATAAAGTACTATTAAAAACAACTAAGTAGCAGTATTGCCCAGATAACTAAGCGGTCTTCTGTTCTATGTCGCCATCTTCTGGATAGATCTGTAAATGCAAATGCTTAAGGTATTTATTATTTTTGCCTTTCAATTGCTTAGTATCAGAGTAAGCCTTTCATGATTCATTTTTTTTTTCATCGAAAGGCCAAGCACAGTCTCCCCATTGTTTAGGCAAACCAAACGAAATAGTTTACTATGCTATACTTTTCTTAAGGAGCCACGAAGTAAACAATCTAGACAGTTGTGCAGTCTTTGGAACAAACCTGTAAAGGTGATTCTTCAAACACCTAACCCACCCATCAAGACGACATGAGACAACTCCATGAATGTACATAGATATTGTCAGAGCAGCCGCCTTAATGTGGATGTAATGCCCAGTTTGAGCCTCTAGAGGCCAGTGTTTGTTCACTAAAGTTATATGTTATGATTCTGTTTCAAATGTGAAAATGATCCTTTTGAACTCAACTATCGCTTTTTATTCCATATGTGAGATGATAAATGGTTTCAGGACCACATCGCAGTGTAACATTTTACCATTTTACCAACATTTTTGCTGGTTTCTTTATTGAACAATGCACAATGTTGAGTGACTGCACCGAGTTCTTTAAAATCTTCCAGCTCCAGATTTGGGCTCGTTTAAAGTTATCAACACTTACATAAAATTGTGCTATATCTGTTTTTGTTCGGTTTTATTTTCATACTTCTATGTCTAGTATTTGCTGTATTGCGATACTTTGAAGTACTTTTAACAATTCCATTGATTTGGAGGATTCTGAAGTCTGAACATTGTAAAGCGCTTTGGGTGACCTTGGTCTGTAAAATGCGCCATATAAATAAACCTTACTTACTTACTTACCAAGACCAGGAGCTGGTACCAGGCTCACACCAAGACTTGAACCCTGACCAGGACCAACCCAGGACTCAGACTCAGTCCAGCATGTCCATGGTAAAGCGGGGTCGGCCCGATGTTCCCCGGGTCCGATGTTCCCCGGGTCCGGTGTTCCCCGGGTCCGGAGTTCCCCGGGTCCGGAGTTCCCCGGGGCGGGGAACACCGGACCCGGGGAACATCGGACCTTCCAAACGCCGGAGGGCCCGGTGTTCCCCGACTGCGGGCCTCGCTCATAGACATGTTATTGCTGCGCGCGGATAATGGAGCAACAAGCGGCTTTCGCTCATAGGGCTACTGAATACTTTATATTATAAGCCTGGTAGATCTCGCATTGGTAGCCAACTACATTTTTACAACCTACCACCTCAGAATAAGAACGTGTTGCAGATAAGAAAAGTAAAATTAGCTCCACCACCTTTTCTTTTTGGAAACATATCTCCCTCCGTTCATCCTCGCAACAGTATTGGCGCCAGGTTTGCAATTTTGGGTAGGCCTGCAGATTAGTAAGTAGGCCAAATTCGCTTGAAAACTACAAGGGCTAACTGGAATTGGGGTTTCAAAGAATATGGTTCAAACGCACACACGCACGCACACGCACTCACGCGCGCACATACACACAAGCTCATTTATGAAACTTGCGTTGAAAAAGATGTACATTTTGGGTGTATATTCCATTTACGCAATTTGCCAAAATGTTTTGATACATTAGAAAAATCCTTCTTGAATTGTAGAAGTGAATAAATATAGATTGATTGAATGAATTAATTAATTCATATATATTATGCAGCGGTGGCTCTGAATGAAGCGTCTGCAGCGTCTTGGACGCAGCCTGGCTCGGGGTAGAAGTGCGCATTGAGGCGCTGTACACTTCAGAGAGCGTTTGCGGTCCAGATTTCACAAAGAAACTCTGGAGCCAAAACTTCTGCACATGTGGCGCGACCTCTCACGGCACTCGCTGCGCACTCTGGACAGGGCAGTGAGACGTTTGAGTGAGCAATACCATCGATGCGTTATTGGGGTGTGTGTCTGTGTGAGGCTTACACAAATCTAATGAAATAACACATTGCTTTACCAGATGTGAATGAGGAATACAAATAGCCGTGCGTAATTACGCAGCGCAGAGCCTGCCACAGCAATAGATGGGTCACACATCCCTGTTGCGTATGTGTATTTATATAGAGCCTTTGACTGTCCAGGATCACAAAGCGCTTCACATTTTAAAAACATACAGATCAAAATAATACACACACAAGTCAGATTTAATAGAGGGTCCTCATCATGAGCTGTGATTTATTCGAAGTTTGCGTGTTTCCATTAGACTTTTTCTGATGCGCAAATTCAAATTTTGAAACATGATGCTCAATGAAAACACAGCATATAATTTTGCCAGAGGGAATATGTTTATTGTTGTACATATCTTGAATTTCATGCGTATGTTTTGGCGTGTTGTGCCGAAGGTTGAGTTCAGCGTATAGATTTACACCACCTCCAGACCTGGCGTTTATTTTTTGCGTATTGTACGCTCACGTCCAGATTGATAAATGCGGAAAAGTGTAATATTTTGCGTACGCCTCATTTACCCTGATTTGGCCGTACGCAGGTTTCATACATGAGGCCCACAGTGAGGCCTACAGTGAGGCCCACAGTGTGTCTCACACAGGCCTAGAGTTTACCTCATCAGTGCGAGGCGAGCCTGGCCTGACCGCGCTCTCCTCCTCTGGGACCTACGGGCCCGGGCCTCTGGCTCCTCTACCTCACAAAGTTCACGCTGAACTTTCTTAAAATTAAAATGAAAAAGGCTGCTCTGTTGTGAATGCTTTGAGAGCGTTGTCAATCTTTAAGACGAGGAATAGCTGGTTGTTCTCGCTTCACGCTGTGTAATATGATATTGGACAAAATTGTTCAGCCAAAACAGGACTATATTTGAAGCAACGTAGGAACGTGATGACGCTCAGGGGGTTATATTATTATTATTATTCCCCCCACTGTAGGAGCCAATACACTTTTCAATATTTTTGAATTCTGAGCGTTTCCAATTGTATTTAAAAATGGGAAACCTAATTAAACAATCATGAATTGAGCTTTTCCGATCTTATTTTACACTGATTCCTTTGATCATTTTTTTCTTAAAGCTCAAGTTGTAAAAATGCTATGTTTGAATTGGTTATTTACATTTTAACTGTGAGTGACACGTAAGGCGGGACAACAATGCACAATGACGCACGCGTTCTGAATAGAATAATATGTATTAATATCTCTAAAACTAAAAGAGCATATTCAAGTTTTACAACAAAAACGACGTCATATGCGTGTCCATTATGCGTAAAAGCACAGTGCCCTCAGCAAAACCACGTATTTGGAAAAACTATAGGCTAACAGATGTAGTAGCTCTAGTTTCAATCGTCCTCATTTTATTCAGTCAGACTTGTCAAATATAGATGCCCATGGGAGAGTGAGCAAGGGGAGATAACATGCCCATAACATGCCCAAAAATATCCTGCATAGACTCAAGCTGCGATCAGCTGAAATATGAGCACACAAAGAGCGAGAGGGAAAAAGAACAGTAAATAGGCTTAGGCTAGTTAGTATTTTTTCTCTCACAAAAGTTGGCACGGATCATATGCCATCTTTCGTGGAGGAGGAAACATCAAACATCAAAGGGCGCACGCGGGGAACAGCGGGACTAGTCTCGTTGTTGAAGTCCCGATGTTCCCCCACTTCTGTTGGCGGGGGAACATCGGACCCGGGGAACATCGGGACTTTTTAATACGCGAAGTACCGATGTTCCCCGGGTCCGATGTTCCCCCGCCTATAGAAGTGGGGGAACATCGGACCCGGGGAACATCGGACCCGGGGAACATCGGTACGCACCCGGTAAAGCCATGCGTCAAAAGCACAGGCCTTTGATTTGTACAGACGGACATCTTGGAGACCGGGGCTGGGGCTTGAGTAGTAAGAAGAAGATAATTATGCTATGATTACCCTTAGCTAACAGTAGCATAGCACTTTCCAGAAGACCCAGCAAGGACCAGAGGACCCACGACCAGAGGACACGCCCAAAGGTTCCAGAACCAGAGGATCCAGCAGTCCTGGGTCGTCTCTCCTGTTGTCCTGGGTTCAGAGCAGTTCTCTTCACTTGAGACAGGACTGAGCAGACGTGTTTTTGGTTTGAGAAAGGAAGAAGGATGATGAAGGGCCAGAGGACTCAAGACCAGATACTGGGTCCTGGGTCCTCCTCTGGTCCTGTGCCCTCTGATCTTAGCTCCTCTGGTTCTTCATCCTCCTTATTCTCTCAAACCAAAACCACATCTGTTTGGTCTGTTGTCCCATCTCAAGTGAGGAGAACTGCTCTAAACTCTGCCACCAATAGATGGAATTCTTGGTTCTAATTTGTTTCTAACACAACTTAATGTGTTCTCAACTGTCACCATGAAAATAATACATAAGACTAGAAATGCATCGCAGTTTATAAATGTATTTTAATCCAATTTCTTTTAAGCTGTTTAAGCGTACAGGTGCCCTATGGATAAAGCTAACACCAACAGTAAACATACAGTACAGTGTGTCTTGTCCATTCTGTCTTGTGTGTAATAACCACTTCTCCAACACCTCTGTCTTCTGCTTATGTAGAACTTTTATCTTGTCCCGGCTTCTGTAGAACCTCAAGACCTGAGGACCCATGGACCAGAGGAGCCAAAAATAGAGGAGCCGAGATCGGAGGACCCATAGCCAAAATATCTGAGACAGGACTGAGAGTTAGTGGATTTCAATTCCTTACTGTATTTGCAGTACTTTTATGTCACTATGCAGTCATTAACAAGGCCTTCAACCATTGTACAATTTTATAAACAAATCACAAAAAATTTTCTTTGTTGCTTGAAAAAACTAATCAAGGGTCAAACATGCATGTGAAAACTAGTGATAGAACCATTTTGATACAAGGAGGAATAGTTATGGATGAATATATTGTATGGATATAATATACATAGTCCATCCATCCCTTTTCTTCCCTGCTTTATCCATTGCAAGCTCTTTGGGGCAGCAATCTAAGCAGATATGCCCAGATTTTCCTCTCCACACACTTCCTCCAGCTCATCCAAGGGAATCCTGAGTTGTTCCCAGGCTCGCTGAAAGACAGTCCTGCCAGCAAGTCCTGGGTCTTCACCAGGTCTCCACCCTTTCCAGGGAGGCACCCAGGCACAGATGCCCAGCTCAACTAAACGTGCTCCACAAAGTATAAACTTGTGCGGGCTTCCCTTCTCAGGTCAGTAATTTTGTTATTAGAAAACAACACACAATAACAGTACAATGCATTATTTTGCCTTCACTTCACAGTTGTTTGTCCGTTTGTTGTGGTAATAATACAATCCAAAGTAAAGTCTTAATGTTTGTGGTCGTAAAAAGGACGAAATGTGTGATCTGTATATAGGTCGATACGCTCACAACTCTTTTGCCTCTTTCTAAGTTTCTCAATTGGCAAGAACAAGTGAATATTTGCTGTGTGCTGATGCATTGTTTGAAGTGTTTTCAGATGCTGATTGTGGAATGCCTGGGTTTGCTCAGGGCAGGCTGTCTTCATGGTAAACATCCATCACCAAAAGAGTCCTGCGTCTCTTTCAGTGCGTCTCTTTTTCAGTCTGTTTATTACTCTCGTCTGTGTTCTCTGTCTGTCTGTATCTCGGCACTGCCCTTTGTCCTGGTGGAAAACCGCTTCTAAGGCCAATCGTTGTCATGCGTTAAGTCTCACTGAATTACTTAGATTAGATTTTAGGAACTGAGGCATGCTTTTGGAGACCGTTCAAACTAGTTCTTTATGCACCAAAATACTGTATCTGTTCTCACTTAACATAAAAAGCAATGAACCCTGCAGACGTGACTTGAACACATGTGCTGTTTTATTTTGACTGTACCTGCACTCTAATTGCTTATAATGCGTTGAGAATGGTACTTTCCAAAACGTAGAAGAACCTTTTGGCCGCTTACATCATCCTTTTGATCGACATAATGCTTTGATGATTCATAAGGCGGTTGACAGCTGTTTCCAGACCTTTGAGATATGGTGAGAAATACATTTAAGGTATTTACTTTGTTTATGTGGCCCTTAAGTGGAACTGAGCTCCAGAGACGCATGTTGTGGAAATGCAACCTGCCCCTGTAAGTGAATCCACATGGGCTGGCGATTGGAAAGAACCAGTACCCAGCCCACTCAGACCTTTCACCTTTTTATTTTCCAATTGGCCTCGCTCTATGTGCGGGAAAACAGCTACAGACTTGAATGGACAGAAACGCAGTATTCAGAGACGTCACTGACGGTTCTGACCAGCAAAGGATTATCTGTGAATGAATAATTGTGATTTTCGCGTGATTTTCAGTAGCATATCTTTACAATAAAGAGTAAACCAGAATTTGTTGTTTTGTTTATTACCCTTAAAGCATTAGTACAGTACATGCAGAAAGGGCATTTTAGTGTAATAGCACCAGGTCGGATCATTCATACCTGTCCACAGGATACACCACTAATGGAAGACATCTTTGGATAAAAAGCATGGCAAACAAACACAATTCAAATGCCCATTCAGTTATTTAGCACTCTTTACAGTTCAAGTATCAATATTTAAAAATACACATCATAAATTATAATCCTTAACCATTCATCTGAAACAAACAGGATTATATGTTCTACAAATAATTAGGGCACATAGTGCATCAAGTATTACATTTCTGATACAGACATCATAGTATATTGACCATCTTTAAAGTCGGGATAGCCAAATGGATTCTAGCTGCTCAATGACTTTCATTTATAGTCAGCCAATCATAAATCAATGTAAGATGCATTGTCTCATAAGGAACATTTCAACACAAAAATATCTGCATCTAACTTTGGTTAAAGCTGTATATGTACATAAAGTATGTTAGAAATCAGAGATTTAAAATATATATAAATATATGTCTGTATATATGAACTGTATAAAATGCTACATTGAAAAAAAACTAAACCCTGTCCGTTAGAAGTCCAGTGTTTTAAATAGAGGTAATTCCAGTTATTTTAACCACCAATTAATTGCAGTAGTACCACAGGTATATAAACACAGTAAAAAGCAGTAGTCTTGGTATTAACCTATGTACACAAAGAGAATAAACATGGCCCAACATACAGTATACAGTATATACTTAGTGGATGTGAGAGGTAGGGGTCTGTAAATGTGATAGTAAAACCACTGCTGTTACAGTGGGACAGTCAGGCTTACATTTCCTTTAACAGTAGCCGTAATTTTGTGAGTGTCAGGAGTGACGCACTCCTGGCCAGTCCCATGCTTGAATAAACGCTATGGGTCCCAGTTGTACGTAGAGTCACATAAGTAAGAACAGACTGGAGTGATGTCAAAGCACAAAGGCCTTGTGGGCATTTTTCAGTTGTTTTACTAAGGTACCCTTTAACCTTTGTCATGGGTCAGACAGAACTGAGTAGTTACACTTAAAGACAACCTCTGTGGGTTTATCCGTGGCAGATATATGGGTTTGTTAATGTAACGCTTAACATGTTCACTTTACAATATATAGACCATTTCTTAGTAGTCACAATATACTGCATACTACTATTAACGTTCCAAAGGGGATTTTTGGAGAATGTGATTTCAGTGTTATGACAGAATTGTTTGTAGGGAAAGACCAATTTGTTCTTTTGTCTTCTGTCCCTTTGTTGCTCGAATTCAAACTAACATAATTCAGTGTTTTAATAAACCATAGCAGCAAAAAGCCAGTTGAGGCCTCCTGACTATTGGGAAGAGAGCGTTTAGTAATCGTGGCCCCCGCTGTAATCCTAAAACATCTTGAGTGTGTTTAGCTGCCTTATAGGTACTGGTTTAGGATCATATTTAGTAGATGGGAAAGTTCTCCTTGAAACTCGCTGCAGCAAAGCACAGAATCCAACAAATCACTGCGGCGAGGAGAAAGTCAGATTTAGGGCTTTGGTCCAAGTGCAACCTCTCACTGGACTTGAAGGAGTAAGCCATTGTGTGCCTGCGGAATGCACTTCCCACAGAATCCACCACAGCGACCATAGATTCGTGTCCCGTCCTACAGACAGAGGCAAAGAGAGGAGAAGAGTGGGTAAAGGCCAAGCTTTTACACCCTGATTATGGACTAGAAAATGTCAGCAGGGATTCCTATTTGGTGAATCAAAGTGAAATAATGCAGACGACATTGCTCTATCTTCATGCATGTTATTAATACATTACTTTTATTATATTTTGTATTTATTTCATTTGTGGACATGACAATTCAAAACATATTACAACTACATTTCAAGTACAGTAATTGCCGTCCTGTCACACTTAATTATTAATTTAATATGATTTTATTGTTCGAATGTTTACATTTTGGTCTTAAACATGTCGATGTTTGCAGAGCTTTTAATTTCATATTCTATCTTAACACTGTAAAAACGCTAAAAAGGTGATTTTGCTTTCAGGTTGGCGCGCAGTCATTGTCAGACTTTCTCACGTGATGTTCCTGTGACGTGTCTTGTCAGTTGTTTTACCGTTTTTGGAGCCGTCTTCCTACCACCAGCTCCACTAACTCCATCTGCACCTGACTTCTTCAGGACAGAATCGCAGGTGTGTGAGAGTATAAAAGCCCCCTCGTCCCGGTTCATGGAAATTTATTTCTATACGCTTGGATCCAGCGTTAATGTTTGTGTCCCTCTCTGTGTTTTGTTTCTTGTGTGTACGCTTTTGCCGTCTCCTTCTCATATTCTGTTTTGTATTCCTTTTTCCATTCTGAGAAAGACTGCACCCTATCCACAACTGTCAGGTACAAAAAAACCCTGGTCTGGTCTTAAAAAAAAACAACTTGTAGACTATTGTAGGACTGTTGTAGGAATTCAGATTCTCTTATTTTATCTAATCATCAGGTTTTGTTGCTGTAAAATTTTAGTGAGAGAAAGGTTTAAAAACAGAATGGGTTCATCTTACCTCTGATCGATGAACTTTGACCGCGACATAGTTGCCCAGAGTCGTCCACTTTGTAGCCTCAGACACCTTGAGGCCCGTGCCAATCAGATTAATGCTGAACTGGCCCTAGCAACAAGAACAAGTCATTCAGTCATCTCTCCACTGAAGAACGAGCTCAAGTGGATGAAGACCAGTGTACATTTGATTCAATGTATTAGTTTATTTATGTACAGTTTGAATCAAAAAGTGAACATAAATCAATCATAATACAGATATAACAGACAAAACTTTTTTTTAAAGGTGCAGTAAGCGATTTTGTTAGCTTAGCCGTAGCACCAACTGGAAACCCCCCCCCCCCCCCCCCTCGCCTCTCCACCAAACCAAACATCCAGCATTTTCTTCTCTTTGTCACAACAGGGAGAGAGGTTGGCAAACGTGAAATTGGCATTTTCTGTTTAGCCCTTATACAGTTCAGAAAATCAGATAACTCAGGTGCGCACACTAGCGAGAAACAGGAAGAGGGAGAAGGGGGTAAAGGTATCCCATTGGTTCGTTGGAGATGAACGAATCCCATTGGCTTTTTTTCATCGGTCCGCTCCAAAATATTTTTGATCAAAATTTGGAGACTATAGGCATCTGGTCAATTCCATTACTATTTGAAAACACATGATAACCTGACTACTTTTAGGGTTTAGGGACGTTTTTCCAACAATATTTAAAAAAAATGCGTCTGCTGTAAAATATCACTGACTGCATCTTTAAGAGAGTGATGCCCTCAGCACAGAGCGAGGGGTGGGGTTAGTGAGTGTTTTGGGTCTTGTCTGTCTGAATAAATAGGAGCGTTGGTGTGTCTTGGTCTTGTCTGTCTCTTGCCATTGGTGTTAATGTGTGTATGTATTTGTCATTGGCTGTTGTCTATTTTAGGTATTGTAGGGATTTTTTGTATTGCATTGTATAGTAGTAAGTGTTTGAATGGATGGGAGGGGATTCGATTTTGTTTTCTCTTATTATCATATTTTTCTGTGAAGAATTGCTTGTATCTCGTTCACGTTTGAATTACATAAACACATGTATGGATTAAGATGCATGGTTTTATTGATTTGAACCGTGTCACCAACCTGTGGACATTTGGCCGCACTGTAGCAATCTCCTGCTGTAGCGAAAGGCACCGGTCGACCGAGCAGAGTCTGGGAAAACTGCAGATCTGTAACTGGTAAACAAGAAGAAGATACAAATCCACTGTCAGTATGTGCTCCAGCAGAAGTAAATAAAGAGCACAGACAGCTGCGCTCGTGTAAACATGAAAGAGAGCACTCGAAGGGGAACTACAGGCATTTAGTCAAGCCAAATGCAAAAGTGACCATGTATTTTTTTAACCTTTTAATAATAAAGCCAGTATCATATTTGACCGGGTGGTTCCATCCTCTTTGGTTTCCTTCTCTATTGTTCACTAGAGGCTGCGATGTGTCACAAAGTAGTTTTTCTCATGTGTTTGGATAATAATGACTAAATCGTAAACAGATCTGGGTTGACACCATCAGGAATAACTGAGAATGCAGGCTATAAAATATCAATTTAAAACCGCTCACTGCACCAAAACTCAGCTCATCTTGAAATCATTACCAGTGTTTTAAGTCTTATAGCTGCCTGAATGCCAAATGGATCCCATGCAGCGGGTGGGAACGAGGAGGATGAGGGACTAATGTGTATATGGGATAATCCTCTGACTTCCCTCTTCACTTTAATCAGAGACATATTGGACTCTACAAAGAAATCTACTTGAACAAACATGTGTGTCTTATGGTCTATTCTGCATTTGTCATGGATATAGGCTGGGCAAGGCATGGTTTATTTGCACAGTTCAATTCATACACAATGCAACTGTGTATATAGGCAAAGTGCTGAACAAACAGAAACAGAAACATTCACACAAGGCATTCAAATCCCAAATAATCACCATATTTCATTATAAAAGTGATCCAGACACACATTTTCCTTCCTGTTGGCTTTTCTTCTTTTGTTTATTTTCTATTGCAACTCACATCAGTGACTAGCAACAAGTGGTTTGCAACAACACTGCTATGTATTACGTGAAAGCAAAATAAACAATAAAAATACAATAATATTTTTGGTTTCTCAGCCCACTTGTGTATGTAGCAATGAAAGCCCTCAACATGTAATTTAGAGTGAGGAAAGATAAGAAATAATAGAGTGTGTAGAATAGATTTATGCCGATAGGGACCAGGCGTCTCAAAGGTACAACAATAGTGGTGTGTGGTCTTTGACAGTAGACATTGGAAGGTAATCAGAGCGTAATGACTCACTTATTATCCGCAGGGAGCTGAGATCCAGGCGCACTTTGTTGAACAATGTGTAGCCCGCTGCTGAGTAGTCGTTTCTGCACTCACAGTCCAGTGTGCGGCTGCCATTGTACGGGCAATCGAACGGGTTTAGTAATCTGAAAGTGTTGAATAAATGATTCCATCAAAGTTACAGTTCTTTGTTTTTTTACAGCCATTAATTAATCAAGTGAACCAGAATTGACAGAAAAAAACACCACCAGTTATATTCAGGATAATTGACAAAAGAAGAGTAAAAGCTGACCCGAACAACAAATGTTGAACAACGTTTGCTAAATCTGCTTTCTCAGTGACGGCCATGAGTCAGCGGAACACACTACCCACAGAGATTATTGCATGTACTACATTTAAAACATTCTCTTGTCTGACTAAGAAATGGCTTCTGAAAAAGCAAGTTTGCACGCACGTGTGAGTGAGTGAGTGAGGGTAATATTTTTGTAGAAGTTGGGGAACTTACTGGTATTAAATTCAATGTTTTGTGAATTCTGTTATTTAAAGTCTGTAAATGTAAGACACGGTCATGTATGTATCTATCTACATTAGAATCTGTTTAAATGAATATAGCATCAGCCTGCCCAGGGACTGCAGGTGGAAATGAGCATCTTTGCTATAACCTGGTACAGTGCAGCTCTCCTTTGTGTTAATATTCAATTGTACACTGTAAAGCACATGTGTCAAAGTCAAGGCCCGCGGGCCAAATCCGGCCCGCGAATGAATTATCTATGGCCCCCGGGACATTGCCTGCCATTGAGGCAATATATTGACCCCTTAAGCTCGCTAGCCCCCGCCGGCGGGAGCAAACGAGGAAAAAAATACATCTGCTGGCAATAGCAGATGTATTTTGAACTTCATAAGCCACAAGCTATATATCATTTTAAAGCTTATTTTCTCAGCTATATTTATATGTAAGTGTAAACGTCATCAGACTTTGCATTAAAAATATATAATGCATAATATGGGCACAAAATAAATCAGTCTGTATTTGTTTTTTACCTTTCGTCTTCTGCTGCTCCAACAAATTAGACTTTCCCCATCCTTGCTTAGTCTCTTTCTCTCCGTAACAGTTCATTGAAGAAGAACATCCACTTGTATTTCCCAAAGTATAATCCATTCTTCAGATTTAATCAAAAAACGCCCCGAAAAGAGGTCCAGACTGCTCTTTTACATTTCACCAAGTTTGAGCTTTTTCTTGTTTTACTATTTTCATGTTCTCAGATGTCTATTACATCTAATATGTACAGTATGAGGATTGGCTTTGGAGCATATTTTATCGAGCTAACATGTGTCACCGGCACTGCCTCTGGATGTTGAGAAACATTGAACCAGTCCGGCCCTCGGCGCGTAGCAAACATTTTTTTTTGGCCCTCTGATGTATTTGACTTTGACATGCCTGCTGTAAAGGATCTCTTAATCTCAATTTTAATCATGTTGACTTTTGCATAAACAACAAAATTAGCACAAAAAAAGCAAATAAGAGAAGAGAACGCAACAGTGCTTGGAATAAAACCTACTAGTTATGTTTATTCTTTTTTGAAAGGTAACACAATTACCCTTTTTCATTTTGTACGATTAGTGACCTTTAATAATCCTGATTATCGATAAACATAATAATATTTACATTCTACTTTCTGTCTAGAATCATCTATTCATTTGTTTTGTTTGTATGAATGCATATGTTTCTGCTCCAGTGGATATTCTTTTATGGGGACCAGTAAAGTATCTATCTATCTATCCATCTAAAGAGAACAAGTTAAAAGTGAAAGATGTGCATTTCCAGGTGCAGGATATAAGTAACAGATAAGGAGCATGTTAAATCCTCAGCCTTTATGGCACCACTTTACGGCAGAGCTCTGTGATATTAAGTAATCCTATTTGAGGCCCTGTTGTCACGCCCCATTGAGCATCCATCAGCGGCGGCTTACACACCTGTGTCCATACACTTCAGAGTAGTTATCGGTTTGACCACTGCGTAAGGTCACGTACTCCTTGGGGAAGTCGGTTTGCATCTCCGCACAGTAAATCTGCACACATACACACATGCACAGGGCTGAATGAGGAGCTGCTGGGAGCTGTGGCTGGAGTTATAACGTGAGTGGGAAATAGACCCACCTGTAAAATCCGGCCTTTGACTTTGAGATAGTATTCCCCATCCATCCTCACGCTTCGTCGCAGCTGCACCTCTCTACAGGAACTCAACAGCTGGCCTGGGATGAAGACACGTGCAGTTACTGACTTCAAACTCTAAACATTTTAACATTCAGAAGTTCACATCAAAGCTCAAGGTTGGGTTCAAAAATCACGGTAAATCATGTGAGTGAGTATATGTGTGTGTGCGTGTGTGTGTTGGCTGCGTATCTTCACATTGGTGGGAATGTCTTAATGTTAGATCACTTTATTTTATTCAAACTGTATACTGTGTTGCACTGTAGGGAAAAGATCAACCAGGGACAGGAGTTGAAAATTTGCATTATAGCTACACACTCTCTATGTGACGCATTAGTTGCACCTTTCATGCTGTAACTATATACGACTACATGGTCCCTGTCAAATAAATAAATAATTTAGCAAATGACATTCATGCATTGTACTGATTGTGCAGTTACATACACAACTTTCAACATTTTACAAATTTCACTTGAAGCATAAAACACCCAAACAACACCATTTATTTCAATTCATTTAAAGAGGGATGCATAATTATGTCCCAAAGGATAGGATATATTTTGGTTATTTGATAATCTATTGTTTCTTTCATTATTGAACAGCCCTAGTAATGTTTGTGTGTAAACATAGCTACAGTTCAAAAAAAGGCATATCCATAAAACCACTCTGGGGATTTAGGTGCTGTATAGGGCACTGTCCGGTTTCCGAAATGTGCTAAAAATAGCTCAGATGACTGCGCATGCGCGCATGTTTCGGACAAACATTGTGTACGACTCGTTGAGTTCTACTGTGTTCTCCTCATACGCGTGTGTATTTATTTGGGCTAAATCATTGAATCATGGTGACAACAAAACACTGCAGTTATGGTGCTTGTCGGAGCGATTTCAGATACTCTGAAAAGGACTATATGAAAGTAACATTCAACCCGTTCGTTAAACCACAACATCGGACCAGACCAGGACCAGACCAGGACCAGATCAGACCAGGTGGGTGCTTGTGGTCGGCAGAATTTCTCTCATGAAAAGGTTAAAAAGGGCACATGTTTTTTCAAAACACTTCGCTGGACCAACTGTGGAGCATCCAGATCCAGTCCTAGCTACGTTTAGCTGGGACTGGATCTGGACCGCTGTATCAGGTCCGTCTGAGCTCTTCTGAATGTAGTTAGCACAAACTTTCTCTTTACACCATTTACCCCCATCAATCCATATTAGTATTGTTTGTCCTAATCCAGAAAGTATACAATTCTCACACCTGAAGAAAGATGAGAGGGATTTTTTTCAACTTTGTGTCTGCTTATTATACGGCTTTGTACCAATTGAACACACAAAATAAACGTCATTCACTACTCATGCCGAAAGGTTTATTTAATGAGTGCAAAGAAAATAGTTCCCAAAGGTTTTCCCGTGGCAGGCGAGTAACAGTGAGGATAGTTAACCTAAAAGCGATCGCTTTAGTCGCATTAAAAAAGTATTTTTGTCATGAAAACCTGAACAGTTAATTCTGAAAACCTCCGTGCACTTGTGTTATGAATGTGTATAATGTATTCTCCCATTAACATTTAAATGTGTTGATTGATTGTCATTTGCGTTTACTGAGTGTGGCTAGCTCTGATAGTTTCTCTCAGAGACAGTGGCGTAACCCGTTGTGATCATGGATTTATTATAATATCAGCTGACTGTAGCTAACTAATGATCAAACTAATTACAAAGTGGATAGTGCAAAAAAAACTTGATAAATGGAAGTTAATCACAGCAAAACAAACAAAGAAGGCGCTAGCATTGCAATTTAAATGACTAGATAATGTTAGCATAATCCTCACCATTATCTTTTTATCAATTCAAACCGTCTACCAGTTACTGGAAGACCACGACATTCAAGCCAACGTTATAATTGGTCTACACTATGATCCCTGATGGTTTGATGGTGGAATTTTGCCCCTGGTATATCATTTTCGTCTAAAGTGACAAGTGGTATTTGATTCATTTGGGCAGTGTTTGTCCGAAACATGTGGGCGGGAGTTGACAGGCGGCGGGGGCGTGTCTTAGTGACGTCATTTAGATAGTTCGCTATTAAGACCAAGTTTCGGAACATACTGTATGAGGTTTGAAAAGAATGAAAATGAAAGTTTTATCTGCTCCGAAGGCTTTGATTCCTTGAATGATGTAATTAGCTCCTCACTGACAGCGGCTGTAGAGCGGCTGATTAACTGATCGCCAACATTGGCCCAGCGAATAAGTCAGCGAGTGAGTCAGCACTGATATCTGAATAAGTAAAATGCAAAGCCAAGGAGTAAGCTTTGGCCGACTGACAACATGTTTCTACACTTGCAAGAGCTTTATAAAATGTATCTAAACCCTAAGGTATTACAGCACACTATTGATTGCAGCATGTGCTGAAAAGTGCTGAGTATTTATTATTTCAGGGTAAAATCTTTCTAGAAGTTCTGCCTAATGTGTTAAAACAAAGCAAAAAGCTGGCTTCGTATAAACACAATCAGATATGGTCTTGGCTGCAACACAGCACAGTCCATTTAATACCATTACTTTATACAAATTCCTTCTTGGCTGAAGTTGAGCACTAATGGTGAGAGGGAGGAAAAAACAGGACCTACATTCTTGTGCTTTACATGCAGCTTGGGAGTCCGGCTTTTCTGCTGAACGGCACTGTTTGGACGGCTGACTTTTGGCGTTTTGACACTCCACTCTGCGCTGCATCACTCCAGCTCCACAAGTCTGGGAGCACTGGAACAATAAGCAAATCATAATGGTTATGCTTATTGTTATCAAACTTTGTTTCACTGCGATTTAAGAAATCCTGGGATCTTTCAAATAATAAAACAGAGAAGAAAGAACATATGTGTTTTATAGAACAAGGGGGTAGATTCCTAAGCACTGAAGTCTAAACATATCTTGCTGCGTATTTGTAAAAAATGTATTTACTGATGATGAGTTTATGTTTATCACCTTGCTCCAGGGGCCGGTTTTCCAATAGGAGGTGTGTGGGCATTCCCTGAGCACACAGGAGCGGGTGCCCTGTGGGCGGGGCTGCAGGCAGAGCGAGTCACTGATGTTGGAATAGGAGCTGGACGAGTGACTGGACGCTGGAGGGAGCACCATAGAGCAGGACACAAACCGCTGCTGATAACCTACGCCACAGCTGGTCGAGCACTGCAAAAACACAAGACCTCTATCAATACGAACACTCACTAAACACTTCTAACACATTTACATTTTAGGGCAAAACAGTTTACAACATTTCTGTATTGGGCATTTTGGACAAAACAACTTTTCTCAGAGGTACATTTAACATGCCAAAAAGTAGATTTTTCTATTTTCATTTATTTTGGGAAAGTTAAACTTAAATCTAATATACTCATTTAAAACTCAAGCCTTGGAGCCCAAAAAACAACACTACAAATGTATTAAACATTATTTACAGTGCATGATTAAACACAATCAGAACCTATTTTATGGTTTAGTTGTAGATGTAAATTTGATTCCAATCCCAATAAAACACAAAAGGCAATAAAGGGAACAAAGGTTTTTCAGTTTTTATCAAAATAAAGTAATTCATACAGTTATTGTTATGTTTAATACATGCTAAATCTGCTACAACTAAAATGTGTGTTGCTATGGTAATTAGCACTTTATCCAAGCTGAGATTTCTCTGAACCAGTCCAGGACCAGTCTAGGATCAAGATAATTTAATAAACCTAAACTACATATACTGTAAATACAGGAATAGTCACAAAGTCAAGTTCCTCAAAACAAAAAGCCGTCAAATTGACTGCTACGCTTCTTGTGTTAATTTACTGTTGTTTTCATGAATACTGTTTTCATGCAACACTTCATAATTCTAAGGAGGTCTAATTGTTTGAACTTAAACTCAGTGAAACACCTTCTTACCTGAGACCACTGGCCAGTAGACCACCCATACTGACAGGGGGCTGTTGTGCACGGCTCCTGGGGCGCCGGCCGTGACGCTCGTTCGCAGTAATCAGCACCGACTTCTACACTCCCTGGACCCACGCAGCGCACCGTCCTGCTCCTGACCCCATCACCACAGCTTGTTTTACACTACCACGACAAATATAAATACATGTGAGTGACTGCAGAGGTAAAAATGACAAGTAATATGTCCTGATCGTATACGGTATATTCTCAAAATGTCTCAAATTCATTCTATAAATATAGCACTACATCTGTGACATGTTAGTGCCATATGAATCAACTCAGACTCTGAGGAGCACAGGAAGTAACCTTTTGCTGGTGCCCGGAGTCAGGACTACACATGGGGAGGCAGCGTTTCAGATTCATGCAGCTAAAATCTGGAACAATCTTCCTGAAAATGTGAGACAGGCTTCTACTCTGGCCGTTTTCAAATCCAGGTTAAAAACAGTTCCATTTAGCTGTGCGGATACAACTGAAGGCTATAATTTCTACAACTGAAGGTTTTTTATTTTCACACTTTTTAATGCGCTGTGGCTATTTTACTAATTGTGTTTTTAAATGTAGTTTAATTCTTTATTTCATTTTTAAGCCGACACATGTGGCTAATTCACATCAAGTTAGTTAATGCCATTTATCTTAGACCTTGTAAAAGTTTATTATAGTATTTAAAGGGACGGTAACCCTAAGATTAGATCATGTGATTCCACTTGCTTACATGTGCACTTTTATAGGAGCGGAAGACATTAAAGAGCAATGGGGGGGGGGGGGGGGGAGTGTCAAGATCTAAAGGCAATGAGGAAAAGAATCTGTTCACTATAAAAGATCTCTGGTACTGGAGGAAATATAGTTTTGTCTTCACACTGTACCCCTCCCACTCAAAGCAAACACGTGGGCATATAAAAAGGTATATAATAGAGAGTTGTATTTTAGAGATCACATGACCACTGAAACTTTGAAGTTTGATTTGATTTAGGTATGATGCCTATCTCTCAGCTAAGACCGGTGCAACAGGGCGGGTTTACCTGCAGGTCATTGGTTTAATGGTATATACTGAGAAGGCTGGAGGAGATCTCAGCCAATAAAAGTCTTAATAGGATGCTGGAACATCTGTAATTCTGTAACATGCTGGGAAATGGGAGGACATATGGGAGCTGAGAGAATAAAAAGAAAGTCTTACTTGCTCCCATTCATCAGCGACCCAAATGTAAGGCGTGCATTCTGGGGCCTGACATGGCTGAACAACAGCAGGGCGAGAGCGGGCGTCACACAGCTCCTCTCTGACGTGTCTTGTGCCTTTGAGTCTGCAGAACACGCTTCTCTTCTGCGTCCCCACGCCACACGTCACCGAGCACTGGGGGAAACAGGGGAGAATTACTTGAAAGAAACATGAAAACATCAAACTCTTTCAATCTGGAGAGACTCGAACAGAAAACAGCGGCTTTAATAGACTTGTAAATTAGTTGACAATTAACTGACACTGCAGTAGTACATACAACTCTGAAGAAAATATTTGCAGGATTACATTTATTGTTCCAGAAATGTGGTTACATTTTGACGCTTAGACCCAGGAAGAGCACGGCATGATGATTGCAGAAGGGTAAATGAAGATCGAGATTATGAGATCCTAGACCCTGGTGGTGGTAGCTAGAGAAGGGAGAAGAGCTGGACCGGCTGATGAGGCAGCGAAGCGGAGGAGGAGGAGGGTTTCTGCATGAGTAGAAGCTGCTGCTTGAATGAAGCTTCAAGTGCTCTCGCAATTTCTGCTTCAATTTGCGAGAGCCCATCACAAATCAGTGGGCACAATTCACACAAGGAGTGAGGAGGAAGTGGGCAGTTCATCGCTGCTTGCAGTTAGAAAGCTTGTTTAGATTTTTATCAACCTAAAAATACGTGGACAGGGTGAATATGACCATGTTTTCTTTTTGTTTAAGTCAAGATTTTTGGGGCCAGCTCCCGATTTCTGTGTCTTTTCCTTTCGACAGGGCAGGTAAAGGCAGCAGCTGTATCGTGTTTGTTTGGTCTGCAGTGTGAGAGATAATGACGCTTTGAACAATGAGAACAGTTAAATCAAAAGGCTGTTTGTCGCTTCTCCCAGTGCAGTGTACAGCCGGGGTCACACAGGGGTCTATCTGAAGCATCTCTTTGAAGTTTTTTTTTCTTCTGAGAGACATACCTGCATACTGAGGAAGCACTCCACTCTCCTACAAAGAGCTGTGCAGGCCTCAGCAATTTCACACAGTCAGAAAATACACCGCCGATCAAATATCCTCCTCCTAATGTCCAGATGGAGTCGTGCTGCAGTTTTTCACTCCAATGATAATCACATGGAATCTTGAAGTAGTAAGAGTGCGACTCAGAGAGAGGTCAAGTGTTTACCTTTTTGGAGGGAGAACAAAAAGGCTCCTTGAACCTCAAAAAAATCATTACATCTGTCGGGATAATAAAAACAATATGGCAAAACTACAAATAAAAAAAATGAAAATAAAGTTTGTTTTTATGTATATGAGTTATGTGATTTTTTTTTTACAATTCCATGTGCGTGTGAGTAAGATTAAGATTAGTAATAAGAATATGATAATAATAATACATCCAATAAAATACAATAAAAATATAAAAAGGGGAAAAGCTTGTTTGAAAAGATGGGCTCTGAGTGCTGATTTAAAGTTTGGTTGTGAGTCAAAGTTTCTAATGGGCAGAAAGAGAAATTTCAGGGTTGCCTCAATACTAAATAATATAAAATCTCTAACTCTAGCATAAAAAGAAGCAAAAATCTCTATCTTTAGCTTAATAAGGACAGAAGTCTTAAAAATCTCCAACTGCAAATGTAAATGTCATATGGGAAGGAGGTTGGCCAGGCTGTATAGTATGTTAAGACAACTATCATACCAGTCTGCTTACAATCATTCACAAACTGTTGGCCATGTCTATAAAAATGATCTCCTGTCAGTGTCCTGTTACATTTTGGCCAAACCGTGCAGTAGTGCAGTACCATGGCTGCTCTTCATCATCCACATGGTAAAAGTATCTGCCAACCAGAATGCAATGGGTATAGCGAGAGGTGACCTGGACAACCTGGCTATCAGCGGGACAACTCACAGGGGGGGCTGAGGTATCAACACCGTCACATGCACCGTTATAAAGACATTAAACATGACTTTATGCTCTGGTTGAGGATTTCATGGTTGCTGGTGGTATGGAGGGAAAAATGATTACTTCCAGACGTAAGGAAAGGAAGGAAGGAAGGAAGAGGAGACCAAGAGTGGGGAATATCTGAGGGCTGGGGATGGGGTGGCCGTGGTCTGGTCTCTGTGGGACCTGTGGGTGGATATTTAACCGTTTTCTTGAATTCTCACAATATTAGTGAGTTTACACATTCACGACAATTCTTCTGCTTCCATTGTTGTCGTTGGACCCAGTTCATGAGTGGAACAGAGGCCGGAGTATGTACTTTGGGTTGAAGCCAGAGGTGAAGTGCCTTATTACACACAAAAACAAACACACATTCGCAGAAATATTCATCCAGCTATCCATTTGTTTCCACTTTATCTGGGGTGTGTTGTGGTGGACGCTGTTTGAGCATATTTGGACAGATTTCCCATCCATCCACAATCCTCCAGCTTTTCCAGGGAATCACATTGAGTAACCGAGCCAGCCTCCACCGCGTCATGGGAGGTGAGACGTAGATGAACATGGGAGGTTACCAGAAGCCAAAACAGATGGCCTCCTTGCCTGGCTTCACACTTAGCGCTAAACCATCCCAGTGCATGACAACACCATCCGCAAACAGTAGAGATGAAATCCTGTGTCACCAAACCAGACTCCCTCCTGCTAACTACACCTTAATTCTCTCCAAGAGCTAACAAACGGCAGCCCCAAACTCATACACTGAGAATGATTTTGCTTTTTGAACAGCTGAGAATGTGAAATGTCATCCTAATAATTTATAATCCCTCATCTTATTTTGGGACAATCAAGTTTAAGGTTCCACTCCTTCCTCTGAATATTATTGTAATATTGTCACATGTGTTTTAAATCTTCACTCAACTGTCAAACTTCAACATAAACACTTTCCTAAGTCGGGCCTGTGGTGTTTCCCTCACAGCGGAGGAAATGACATATTGCTAAAATAAACCGCAACATGATTGGACAGGTGGTTTTGTGTGTACATGTCCTACATCCGCAGCCTCTGGGACTTCACGCTCGCAATGTTGATGCTTATGTTTGGACAGCACTAGAGACAGTTACTGGTCCCACTAAGTACATACCTCAGTCCACTTGTTGGCTTTCCAAATGGGGCATCTCTGCACCCGACAGGATTTCTGAGTGCGGGGCCGCGGAAAGGGCTTGCATTCATCGTCCTCCATCTTGGTTTGGTTTTGATAGACACAAACAACCTCCCTCTGTTTGGTTCCACGTCCACAACTCACTGAACACTGGAAAAAAAATAACAACTTAACTTTTTTGTGTATTGCCCTTAATCAAAACAGTAGTTAACTCAGTGGACTACAACGGTATCGATTCGCCAACACAGATCAGAGAATCATACAGTTCAAATACAATGATAAAAAACACATAGATCCATTGGTGAAAAAGGAGCAGATGATCAATGGCCATAAGTGTTGATAAATTCCATAAATGTCGTTAGATGTCGAGTGTCCTGGATCATCACTACTGTCCTTAGACCCTCCTGCATCCTTTCAAAAGAACAAAGTACTTCTCATCCAAATGCTTTTAACTGCAAATTTGTAAGCGCTTTATTTTTGAGAATATTTATGCAGATCTACAAGTTAAATTGATTAGTTGCAACTATTAGTGAAATAGTTTGTCAGCAAATGTAATAATCAATTAATAGTTTTTCAAAGAACATCCATTTGTATATAATCATCTATGCATGCTGCAGACGTTTCATGACTCCCAACATACATGTATTACTGCAGAATAAAAGGTAAATGCCTAAATTAAAATTGAAAGGGAAATTTAAATAACAACCCTATTTGTTATGTTGGTGCAAGATGTTTAAGTTGAATGGTCAAAAATATTTAAAAAATCCCATAGTTACAGGTCTTTTGTGATGCAAATTACTTACAACGAAAGATCAGCCAACTAATAACTTAGAAAAAGAAAAGTTAATTACAGCCCTATTATAGAGACACAACGACAAGTGAAGGGACTAAGAATCATGTGGAAGGAGCAAAGCATCATTAATTAGAAATACAATTTATACAAAAATACCAAAGTCGCAAAAGAAGAAATACGAAAAAAAACATTTCTATGAAGTCAGACAGAAACTAGGCCACATGCTATTTCTGTCACGGGGTACCCCAATCCAAAATCACGACTGAATACGCAACACAAAACAGATTTTCCTGTATTTTCCAGTCCAAATAATAAACATAATATTTCATTGTCCATTCACTAGAGTAGCTGTGTGTTGCATAACAGGGACACACTAGAACGTGCTCTTGTGAATGTGTTCGTATAATAATGATAAAACATGTCATATACAACCAATAATGTGGAATTCTTACTAGTTTTTTCAGTTATTTATTTTCGTCTCTATGGTTACCAGCTGCTAATTGACTCATATAGTGCTGCAAACACATACATCTATGATCAGCTCTGATCAACAGCTCTGATCTGTGGATTTTTTCAACTTTAGTTCATCCTTATTTTCTTACTGCTAAAGTTATGTTTGCACAATCTATTAGAGGCAATCCTAAAGCCAGTTAAGTGCAGTTCGGGCACAAGTTGACACAGCGCACACACGTTCCAAGCACTTTGTAATTACCCAGGTATTTTAAAGATAGGGCTGGCTCAGCTGACGACAAACATCAAAGCATCCCTTGGGCTGAGCGAGCAGGCCGATTCACATACCCCCAGTGCATAGAAATGATAACTTAAGCACGGACAAGAGGAGAGAAACTTGTATAGAGGGGGCTGAGGCGAGCTGGCCCCTCCTCCCCTCTGTAAAAGTAGAAGAGAGAAAAAAAAAACAGACAGGAAAAAAGGAAATCGCAGCCATACGTGCCGCACTCCGGAGCTGTAGTGTATCTATGAGAAGGGGGGGAAAAAAAAGCCTATACATTGAAAGCGCTCCTCCTACCAAAGCGAGGATCATCTGTCAGCTATTAGTTAATCAAGGCCGGGGCAGGAGACGGGGAGGACCGGCCGGACAATGCGCGGGACAGGTCCGGCTTTGAGAGAAGGAAAGGGCAAAAACTCAGGACCCTAGCTGCCTCCGTCACAGCTCAAAGCACTTTAATCAACACCAAGCACTCAGGTAAGACTTCTCACTTACTTCTGACAGCTAAGACACCCTTCTCTGCATTTTTCAAGTGTAGTATTTGCTTGTATTTGAGGGTTTTTTCCTAATTCAAAAACAATGATATTTGCATGATAATAGTCATCAGATGTATGTGTTATGTATGTATGTTTATATGTATTGTGAACACCATAAAACACATGGTACAAACTAGACTGAATCAGTAAGTTTATAGTAAAAATTATGTTTAGTTTTGAGTGTAAAGTATTTCAAACATCCCAGTACATCTCAGCTTATAGCAATTCAACCAATAAAATGAGGAGATGGCTTTTTGCAATTGACCCCCCACCAAGTCGTCCTCCCTAATTTCACATGATCCAGAGCTTAAACTTCTTAAATCCAAGAAATTAAATAGATTACAAGTAAACGAAACGACATAAGTTCTTTCCGCCTGGCACAAAGTTGAATTCCAGCCAAGTCAGTTATTTTCTATATGGAAAGTACATTTGAACGTGTCAGTGGAGTCATATCGGTTAGACTAACATTGCGCTACAGTTCCAAGGAGATTTTATGAATGAAAAGTTGATACATGTAACGACATAATCCCTCTGATGCGTACTCTTTGGAGATCCATATCTTTCAGCAGGAGTGACAGGCGGCAACCTCAGCATGACCCCTCCCTCTGCTAACAGGTAAGCCAACACCACACATGGAAAGACTTAAACATGCAAGACCTGAGTATAAATATATATCAGCAGCCATCTCCAAACAAGTTTTTACATGTGTTTCAATGAGAGCCACGTAAAAAGAAATAACACAGTGCAATAATTACGCTTGTAAAATGTTTGGCCGGACATAAAAGCTGGGGTTACCCTTAAAACACATCTTTATTGTGGAGCTATAAAAACAAAGCAAAACTAGAATAACATTAAATTAACAGCTGGTTGTTCTCATTAGTGCATTAGTGGAGGACGGACTAGATTTGCTCCATGATCAGGGGTGTAGCAGGAAGGGAGGGGGGGAGGGATGGGGGAGCATATTATACCAGTATTTTTCATTCATTCATTCATTCATTCATTCATTTTCTACCCTTTAATCCATTTCTGGGTCAGGGGGGTGGCAGTCAGAGAGGCCACCCAAGTCTCATAGCACCAGCCCCTCATTTAGTATATAGTTTTAGTATAATAGTATTTTTCATGCTATTGAAAATACTGTAGTGTTGCATGCACGGAATCATTTCATAAATACAGTATACAAATATATTCTCAAGACTGGAGTACCTAACCTCATTTTCATAATAAAAACGGTTTGTCCCAAAAAAGGACAAATGAATCAGACAAAACCAGCTGTCTTCATCTTCATAGAAAGTTATATTTTGCATACTTGTAAGAAAGAGCCACCTGAGTTCCTATTTGACTCTTTGGGCTGAGAGCTGATTGGCTGAGGGAGGATGGTCATCTCTTTATCACTTTTCTGTCCTAAAAAGCTGATCTAAGGATGTAGCAGAGGCAAAAAAAACGCATTCACGTATAATCTAGTGATAAAAACCAATAGTTGCATAAGATAAACTCTATTGATCTTGTCACATTTGGCATAGATAGAATCACTCAGGGTGTGCAAAAAGACAGGAAGTGTGCAAACATGGGCAAAAGCTTAAAATTAAGTCTCTTTCGTGCAATATATATTATGTAAGATAAAATTATAAGTGTTTGTGGTTTGAATGCTATTACCCCAGCTTTAACTTACAAAGAAACTCATTCCTAACCACCCGAGACCATCTTCTCCAGTTATGCCTTTGTCCCAAACATAATAGGTCACTGAACTACTACTAACGTAAAGGCTTAGAGTGTCTTAGGGTTGAATTCCGATGATGGCGGAGCAAGTGAATAATATGAGGCATATGGTGTCTGCAGCTACAGCGACTCTTCAAAGGCACAGCGCACTGACCTGGAGCAAGAAGAAACTCCGACTCCTCCTACTCACAGAGCAGCAGGAATAAAACGTCTGCTTGTCTGTATTTTGTCAGGGGGAGGCGGGGGGGGGGGGGGGGGGGGGGGGCGGGGGGTCCTGAAACGTCATCATTGCTATTGGAAGCAAAGGTAAGCAGCGAGATTATCAGGATCACGATGTTCGCCGATGTTTCCTTAAACAGGACATGAGTCAAACCGGCGGAGGGAGGACAGAACAAGAACGCCCAGAGCAAAGTCGCTGACAGAATGTGCATGTCAAGATTTATTTTTTCATGTTACTACTTTATCTAGAAGTAATACGCTATTTGCCAATCTGTAAACATTTGTGGATTATCAGATACTAAAGTGTTTAAACATTAGAAAAATTGTCGGAATAGAGGCAAACCAAATATCGAACTCTCCAAAAATAATTCTCTGACTTGAAAAATACCACAATTTTAATATTACCACAAATTTAATAAACTAAAATTCTTACAATATTCGAATTCAAGACAATCTTAGAAAGCAAATTGGTAATTAGCAGGAAGTTGCCTTAGTATCAAATAAATCCTCTTTATGTGGAGGCCAGATCTCACACACAGGACTTCTCAGACTATAGTCCATCATCATTTCATAGGCCTCTTACTGGGGGAACATCACCAGGAGTCCAGGAGCATCAGAACAGACAAATTGCTGTTGTGCCCTTAGGCAAGACACTTCACCCAGATTGCCTAGTATGAGTCTAGTGGTGCGCCAATGAGTGGTGGTGACCATTGGCACAAACAAATCTAGTGGTGATTGGACTGGCCGATGGCACATTCTGGTTGCCTCGCTTCTGTCAGTCTGACACAGGGCAGCTGTATCAGACCCAGTAGTAGATTATTACCACCGCAAATTGAGTAAATTAATAATGTCATGTGAGTTTCAAAGCGCTGTATAAAACCTGATGCATTTTTATTATCATTATTATATTATTATTATTATTATTATCATTATCATTATTATTATCATTATCATTATCATTATCATTATTAACAGCAATATGAGACAAACTGGTCGTCTTCCTCAAAGCCTCGATGTGTTCTGATTGGTTTGCATGTTAAAAAAACCTAAAAAACCCACCCTGATTCTAATAAACAGATAAACATCTTGA